CCGCCCAGCAGAAAAAAAAACACTTACTACTATAAAAAAAGGCATGCAGCATGCAAATTTTGGCCAGCAATGGCACAAAAAGATCAAAAAAGAAAAAAAACATGGTGAAATAAGAATTGGTGATACCAAAGCCAAGTTAAATAACAAATAAAGAGGGGGAAAAAAAGCACAAAAAGGGAAAAGCAAAAATTACCCCCCTTTCCCCAAATACTTCCTTCCCCCCTGTTTTTGGGAAATTTTTAAGGTGGGGAATGTCCTTTACGGCCCCGCCCCCTGCCCCCCCCCCGCCTTCCGCGCCCCCGCCCCCCCCGGGGTTTTTAATTTACCCCCTTTCGCCCCCCCCTGCCCCCCCCCCCCCCCCTCCCCCTCCCCCCCCCCGTCCCCCCTTTGGGGCAGGCCCCCCCCCCCTTCCCCCCCCCAGCCCATTTAGGGCCTGGCCCCGCCCTGCCTTCAGATGAGGGTTCCCCGTATGGAATTTAAAGGGCGGGACCCGCATTTTTTTTTTTTTTTTTTTCTTTTGGGGTTTAATCCTATTTAGTTTTTAATTGTTCCTGACCCCCCCCCCCCCCAACAAAAAAAATTCTGTACCAAAAATGGGTTCAGTTTATATCAGTGGTCAGTGTAGTGGTCCCTTACATTGGTGACCAATGGGAGAAGGACCCCCTTATATCAGTGGTCAGTGTAGTGGTCCCTTACATTGGTGACCGATGGGAGAAGGACCCCCTTATCAGATCAGTGGTCAGTGTAGTGGTCAGTGGTCTTTAAAAATTGGTGACCGATGGGAGAAGGATCCCCTTATATCAGTGGTCAAGGGGAGAAGGACCCCCGTTATATCAGTGCTCAGTATAGCGGTCCCTTACATTGGTGACCGATGGGAGAAGGACCCCTTATAACAGTGGTCAGTGTAGTGTTCCCTTACATTGGTGACCGATGGCAGAAGGACCCCCTTATATCAGTGGTCAAGGGGAGAAGGACCCCCTTATATCAGTGGTCAGTGTAGTGGTCCCTTACATTGGTGACCAAAGGGAGAAGGACCCCCCTTATATCAGTGGTCAGTGTAGCGGTCCCTTACATTGGTGACCAATAAGAGAAGGACCCCCTTATATCAGTGGTCAGTGTAGAGGTCCCTTACATTGGTGACCGATGGGAGAAGGACCCCCTTATATCAGTGGTCAGTGTAGAGGTCCCTTACATTGGTGACAGATGGGAGAAGGACCCCCTTATATCAGTGGTCAGTGTAGTGTTCCCTTACATTGGTGACCGATGGGAGAAGGACCCCCTTATATCAGTGGTCAGTGTAGTGGTCCCTTACATTGGTGACCGATGGGAGAAGGACCCCCCTTATATCAGTGGTCAGTGGGGGAAGGACATTCTAACATGGTCATCAGTGGGAAGACTGTCCCTCTTACATATCATTGATGTCAGTTGTTACTGAGAGACAGAAATTGTTCATAGCTCAAGGAACCCCTAGAACCCTTCGGAGAACCCCTGGCTGACAAAGGCTGGACTAGGCAGTCATATATTTCTGTCTCCCTTGGTGGGAGTGGAGGTGACCCCTCTATGAGGACATACAGTCCATACACACCCAGCACAAGGCCGGGGTCACACTACCAGACGGTTCTAGGGGCTGCAGTTCCTCTGAGCTCCACAAGGTGGGGATCTCACTTCTACCCAGACAGAAAGTCTCTATGGAACACAGGAAGTGATGTCAGGAATAAATAGGAATTTCCGGGTGAGAGGTGAGTTGGGAGGAGACAGAGAGGAGACATTGCTGGAAGTGGCAGCAGAGGAGGTAATAAGATTTGATTTTATTTTTACACCCAGTAATCCCCCGTCATGCCCGTCCTCTTCCTCCAACTTCGCGTCCGTCCTCTTCCACCGTCGCGCCCATTTTATTCCACTGTCGCGCCCGTCCTCTCCCTCCACCGTCGCGCCCGTCCTCTCCCTCCACCGTCGCGCCCGTCCTCTCCCTCCACCGTCGCGCCCGTCCTCTCCCTCCACCGTCATGTCTGTCCTCTTCCTCCAGGGTCACGCCTGTCCTTTTCCTCCACCATACCAGGCCGCATTAACTCAACATAGTAGGGTACCCCATGAGGGGGGGCCCTGGCAGAAAATCTCATCTCTGTGTTGATGAGGACAAAGGCCTCTTCCCAGTCAGAAATGGGGTTCCTGGGGAGTGAGGGACTGGCATAGTACCCCTTACTCATTCACAAATAATGACAGTGTACTGTATATAAAACACACTCACACGTTTTTATGTCCTTTATTAAAAAAACAAAACCCCTCCCCCCCAAAAAAGTCCTGTGGTGTAAATCCATCAATTGCATCATCCAGTGTTCTATCACTCATGATGAACAATGCCCACCAAGCCACCAGAACAGAAACGCTTACATTCGTTCCATTGCACGCTCAGCCACAACTGCTGGATTTTCAGTCCAACAGCTTGACTGCAAACGAACGGCGGGAATACTGGCTGACGTCCATGACCGAATACCGCCAACGTAAAATTCGGTCAATGATGTCAGCCAGAATGCCTTCTCTTCCATGCCCATTGGGCATCTCCTGACTGTTGAATAGAGCCAGGGAAGTGTCAATGGTTGCTAGGACGTAGGCGGCCACTGGCTTCCTAGCAACCAGAAGCCCTGAGGAAGACTCTGTCCCATTTCGCAGTGGTGGTAATACTGCTACTAAATGTATAACTTCCTGCTGCAGGCGGAGGTTCAGCTGGGCGGACCGGTGAACACTCCAGTTGGTTTGCCCATTGGCCAGACAGCCAAAGTTTGGCCCGGACCAGAGTGTCATCCCTGTTTATTACTGGTATTGGCTTGCTTGTAGTTCCTCCCTAATATCAAGTCATTATTATGGTTCTTTTCATTGCTTTGCCACACTTGTGGATCTGGTGACATAGAATCTGGGTAGGAGGTCACCAGAACATCGTACTGAGTCTCCTTCATATCCCACCACTCATAATGTCCTTCAGTTGTTCCCTCAGACCTAGAACCCAGATATGACCAGGGAAGATCAGCCCACTGCCATGGCCCAGCTCTGAAGAGTTGTGTTCTCTCATTGTATGGTTCCCCCATGGAGGAGCCTAAAATATTAGTCTGTGAAGCCCCCATGGAAAAAGAATAGCTAGGCTAAAGAAATACCGGGTGTCCTTGACTTTGATTGACATTCCATTGGTCAAGACCAATCAACATTTCCCCAGCCTTAATGGCCACGCTGATTTGCTCCTTGCCCTGTTTTCCTGTCTCACTGACAATGGCTCCCACCTTCATCCAAGTTACCCATTCCTTTTCCTGGAAGGTTCCCTGTGCCGTCCAAGGGACCACCACTGCATCCTGTACCCACAGCCAGGCCTGCATCTGCATCCTGTACCTACAGCCAGGCCTGCATCCTGCCAGAATCTGCCCAAATCTCAGACCTGTCACCAACACCATGTGGTGAGTCCTGACCCCGAACTCTGTGCATTACTTACTTCTGACCTCTGCGTATTACTTCTGACCTCTGCACTCTGCGTATTACTTCTGACCTCTGCACTCAGTGTATTAATTCTGCACTCTGTGTATTACTTCTGACCTCTGCTCTGTATATATTACTTCTGACCTCTGCGCTGTGTGTATTACTTCTGACCTCTGCGTATTACTTCTGACCTCTGCACTCAGTGTATTAATTCTGAACTCTGCACTGTGCGTAATACTTCTGACCTCTGTGCTGTGCGTATTACTTCTGACCTCTGCACTGTGCGTATTACTTCTGACCTCTGCGCTCTGCGTATTACTGACCTCTGCGCTCTGCGTATTACTTCTGACCTCTGCGCTCTGCGTATTACTTCTGACCTCTGCGTATTACTTCTGACCTCTGCGCTCTGCGTATTACTTCTGACCTCTGCGTATCACTTCTGACCTCTGCGCTCTGCGTATTACTTGTGACCTTTGCGCTCTGCGTATTACTTGTGACCTTTGCGCTCTGCGTATTACTTTTGACCTCTGCGTTTTACTTCTGACCTCTGCACTGTGCGTATTACTTCTTAACGCTGCACTTTGCGTTTTACTTCTGACCTCTGCACTCTGCGTATTACTTCTGACCTCTGCGCTCTGCGTATTACTTCTGACCTCTGCGCTCTGCGTATTACTTCTGACCTCTGTGCTCTGCGTATTACTTCTGACCTCTGCGCTCTGCGTATTACTTCTGACCTCTGCGCTCTGCGTATTACTGCTGATCTCTGTGCTCTGCGTATTACTTCTAACCTCTGCACTCTGCATATTACTTCTGATCACTGTGCTCTGCGTATTACTTCTGACTTCAGCACTCTGTGCACTACTTCCTATTATTGTGTGACCGATACCATCCAAATAATTCTTACTTTCATTTTCCAAAGCTATCCATCTACAAGAAGACCTGTATAGATCACATGACCAATGAGGATGGAGGAGGACCGGAGTCACATGACTGAGAGGATACTAAACCTCACCCTGGAGATCATCTACCTGCTGACCGGAGAGGTGAGGAGGATTCTGGGAGGTCACATGACATCACTCTCATCTCTATTAATAAAACACAGACCTGACCAGAGAGGTGAGGAGGATTCTGGGAGGTCACATGACATCACTCTGGTCTAGTCTGGCCAATAGACCATGTTCTTCTTGTAGACATGTAGATGATGTCAGATGATTGATATCGGTTTCTCTTTCTCCTGATCTGTAGGATTATGTTGTAGTGAAGAAGTCTAGTGGGGAGCCAATCTCAGGAGGATGGAGCAGGACCCAGAGCCCCACCATGGTGCCTCCCCCTCGTTCTCCGATACCTGAGAGGAGCAAAGAGCAGAAGATCCTGGAACTGACCACCATGATGGTCCATTTAATGACAGGAGAGGTGAGCGGTGCCGGGAATTCTGGGACATTCTCCAGTAACAGACAAGGGATGTGTTTGGATGGTGACTGTATCATTGTGTGTGTCAGGTTCCTATAAGGTGTCAGGGTGTCACTGTCTATTTCTCCATGGAGGAGTGGGAGTATTTAGAAGGACACAAGGACCTCTACAAGGACGTCATGATGGACAATCAGCCGCCCCTCACATCACCGGGTAAGAGGAGACTTTATTGGAAAGGAGAGAGCAGTACGGAGGCTCCACCTAGATCCCCCATTATCTGATAAACACATAGAAACAATGGATTCAGTCAGTGTGTGTGTTTCCTACAGATGGATCCAGTCATGGGAACCCACCAGAGAGATGTCCCCGTCCTCTGTATTCCCGAGATTCCACACAGCAAGGTCACACCATCCCTCACCATCATCAGGTAGATGGATCCAGTCATGGGAACCCACCAGAGAGATGTCCCCGTCCTCTGTATTCCCGGGATTCCACACAGGAAGGTCACACCATCCCTCACCATCATCAGGTAGATGAGGAACAATCACTGATAGTATCATTAGGATCTGTACATTATCTGCATTGTTACCATTGATGTCATTTTATTATATATTCAGAGTGCAAACCTGAGAGATTCTACTGTTGAGGTTAAAGAAGAGATAAAAGAGGAGGAGGATGAGGATGGGGGGATGGAGGAGTCAGAGATTCCAGAAGAACACAAAGATCTGTACCAGGACACCATGGTGGAGTCATCCCGCTACAGGAACCCACCAGAGAGATGTCCCCGTCCTCTGTATTCCCGGGATTCCACACGGGAAGGTCACACCATCCCTCACCATCATCACGTAGGTGGGACGGAGCATCTAGAACATGGAGTGAGATCATGGAGAAGATCTGTAGACCTTACAATATTTTATTTTCTCTCCTTCTCTTGGTTTAGGGTAAAGATCTTCTAGACATAAAAGTTGAGGTGAAATCAGAAGAAGAAGAGGCGTATGTGAGGGATGATCAGCAGTCTATGGAGGAGGATGGAATAACAGGGACATTTATAGAGGAGGACACTCCTACAGAGATCAGCACAGGTGGGTCATGAACACTAAATCCTAGATTGGTCACTGACCCATTTCCTAGTTCCCTTGAAGGTGGAATTGGAAGCTCCTCAGAGACAAAGCTGCCTGATGTGGGCGGAGTCCTGGTTTGGGGGAACCAATCAGCTTCTGTCTAGTAATCCTTTGTCTTTGTATTTTAGTCCATGGCCGGGAGATGAGGAAAACCTCCAAGGATTGTCTCATTTTGTCTCCAGACTGGAAAGTAGAAGATGAGGACATCAAACAGTATAGTCCAGGAGAAAACCCGGCTCCCTCCAATGTCCATCTGGCACCACCCAGTGTAGATGGACCATCGGATTCCTCGTATCCTGAGGAACCTCAGACTGTGCGGGACCGGGCCGGCCTTCCAACAGGGAAGAGCTTCTCCTGTATTGGGTATGGGAAATGTTTCCATTCTAAATCCAATCTTAATGAGCATAAAAGAACGCACACGGGGGAGAAGCCGTATTCCTGTACTGACTGCAGGAAATGTTTTGCAAGAAAATCACAACTTGTCACACATCAAATTTCTCACACGGGGGAAAAGCCATATTCCTGTCCTGAGTGCGGGAAATGTTTTTCAGGGAGCTTTAGTCTTAACAGGCATCAAAGGTCTCACACGGGGGAGAAGCCGTATTCCTGTCCTGAGTGCGGGAAATGTTTTTCACACAACTCCAGCCTTTATGCACATCAGAGATTGCACACGGGGGAAAAGCCGTATTCCTGTCCTGAGTGCGGGAAATGTTTTTCACAGAAGTCTCATCTAAACAGCCATCAGAAATCTCACACAGTGGAGAAGCAGTTCTCCTGTCCTGAGTGCGGGAAATGCTTTCCACACCAGTCCAAACTTGACAAACATCAGAGATCACACACGGGGGAGAAGCCAAATTCCTGTCCCGAGTGCCGGAAATGTTTTTCCGATCAGTCCAAACTTGCCAAACATCAGAAATCGCACACGAGGGAGAAGCCTCATTCCTGTCCTGAGTGCGGGAAATGTTTTTCACAGAAGTTTTTTCTTTACAGACATTGGAGATCGCACACGGGGGAGAAGCCGTATTCCTGTGCCGAGTGCGGGAAATGTTTTGTACACAAATTAAACCTTGTCACACATCAAAGGTCTCACACGGGGGAGAAGCCGTATTCCTGTCCTAAGTGCGGGAAATGTTTTTCAGATAAGTCCAATCTTTACAGACACCAGAGATTGCACACGTGACGCGTTACTTTAACTGACAATTGCGCGGTCATGCAACCCTGCACCCAAATTAAATTTGCTTCCTTCCCCCCCCCCCCCCCCCACACATAGAGCTTTCTTTCGGTGGTATTTGATCTCCAGTGTGTTTTTTTTTTTTACATTTTTTTCACTGTAAACAAAAAAAGACCTACAATTTCAGGAAAAAAAAAACTATATTTTTGACTTTTTGATATAAAACAGATCCAATAAAAAAAATCAAATTTCATCATAAATTTCGGCCAAAATGTATTCTGCTCATGCAACGCTGTTCATAAATGAAATTTACATCCTTTTTTCCCCTCACATTGAGCTTTCTTTCGGTGGTATTTGATCCCCTATGCATTTTGTATTCTTTGCGCTATAAACAAAAAAAGCGACAATTAATTGGCCATTTTTTGCAATACGGCACTGCGTTATTTTAAATGACAATTGCGCGGTCATGCAGCGCTGTTCATAAATTAAATTTACATCCTTTTTTCCCCACACATTGAGCTTTCTTTCGCTTGTATTTGATCTCCTGTGCGGTTTTTAAATTTTTGCGCTATAAACAAAAAAAGCAACAATTTCGGTAAAAAAACTATATTTTTGACTGTTTACCATTTAAAAAAAAAAAAATCAAATTTTGTCAAATTTCAACTAAATGTGCAGTCATGCAACGCTGCACCCAAATTAAATTTACGTCCTTTTTTTTCCCCGCACATTGAGCTTTCTTTTGCTGGTATTTGGCTGTGCGGTTTTTAATTTTTTTTGGGCTATAAATATTTAATATATAAATATTTTTGACTGATATAAAACAGATCCAGTAAAAAAAATGTGCAAAATCAACTTTCGTCATAAATTTCGGCTGAAATGTATTCTGCTCCGTGTCTTTGCTAAAAAAAAATCCCAATACGAGTAAATTAATTGGCCATTTTTTGCAATACGGCGCTGCGTTGTTTTAACTGACAATTGCGCGGTCATGCAATGCTGTTCATAAATGAAATTTTTTTCCCATGCATTAAGCTTTCTTTTGGTGGTGTTTGATCCCCTGTGCACTTTTTATTATTTGCGCTATAAATGAAAAAAACGACAATTCGGGGAAAAAAAACAATATTTTTGACTGTTTGTTATAAAAACATCCAATAAAAAAAATAAAAAAAAAGTTTTTTCATAAATTTCGGCCAATATGTCTTTGCTGAAAAAAAATCCCAATACGTGTAAATTAATTGCCCAATTTTTTGCAATACTGACAATTGTGCGGTCATGCAACTCTGCACATAAATGGAATTTATGTCCTTTTTTTTTTCCCCCCACACATTGAACATTCTTTTGCTGGTGTTTGATCCCCTGTGCATTTTTTTTTTTTTTTTTGCGCTATAAACAAAAGAACCGACAATTTCGGAGAAAAACTAAACAATATTTTTTGACTGTTCGCTATAAAACATCCAATAAAAAAAAATGTTAATCAAATTTTGTTATAAATTTTGGCCAAAATATATTCTGCTCTCCGTGTCTTTGATTAAAAAAATCCCAATATGCATAAATGAATTGGCCATTTTTTGAAATACGGCACTGCGTTCCTTTAACTAGCAATTGTGCGGTCATGCAATGCTGTTCATAAATTAAATTTACGTCCTTTTTCCCCACACATTGAGCTTTCTTTTGATGGTATTTGATCTCCTGTGCGGTTTTTATTTTTTGTGCTCTAAACGAAAAAGCTGACAATTTAAAGAAAAAAAAATATTGTTGACTTTTTGCTCTAAAACAGATCCAATAAAAAAAATTTTAAAAATCAAATCTCGTCGTAAATTTCGGCCAAAATGTATTCTGCTACGTGTCTTTGCTGAAAAAGAACCCAATACAGGTAAATGAATTGCCCATTTTTTGCGATACGGCGCTGCGTTACTTTAACTGACAATTGCACGGTCATGCAGCGCTGTTCATAAATGAAATTTACGTCCTTTTTTTCCCCTCACATTGAGCTTTCTTTTGGTGGTGTTTGATCCCCTGTGCTTTTTTTTTTTGCGCTATAAACAAAAAAAAAAACGACAATTTCGGGAAAAAAACAAAATTTTTGACTGCTATAAAACATCCAATAAAAAAAAAAAAATTGTCATAAATTTCAGCCAATATGTCTTTGCTAAAAAAAAATCCCAATACGTGTAAATTAATTGCCCATTTTTTTTCAATACTGACAGTTGCGCGGTGATGCAGCACTGTTCATAAATGAAATTTACGTCCTTTTTTCCCCACACATTAAGCTTTTTTTTGGTGGTATTTGATTCTCTGTGCATTTTTTATTTTTTTTTGCGCTGTACACGAAAAAACGACAATTTTCGGAGAAAAAAACTAAACAATATTTTTTACTTTTTGCTATATGACATGTCAAATAAAAAAAAAAATGTAAAAAATCAAATTTTGTTATAAATTTCGGCCAAAATGTTTTCTGCTCTGTGTCTTAGCTAAAAGAAAAATCCCAAAGCGGGTAAATTAATTGGCCATTTTTTGCAATACGGCGCTGCTTTACTTTAACTTACAATTGTGCAGTCATGCAGCGCTGTTCATAAATGAAATTTACGCCCTTTTTTCCCCACACATTGAGCTTTCTTTCACTGGTGTTTGATCCCCTGGGCGTTTCTTATTTTTTGCGCTATAAACGAAAAAAACAACAATTTTGGAGAAAAACTGAACAATATTTTTGACTGTTCGCTATAAAACATCCAATGAAAAAATGTTAAAAATAAAATTTTGTTATAAATTTTGGCCAAAATGTATTCTGCTCCGTGTCTTCGCTGAAAAAAAATCCCAATACGAGTAACTTAATTGGCCTGTTTTTTTAATACGGTGCTGCGTTATTTTAACTGACAATTGCGCGGTCATGCAACGCTATTCATAAATGAAATTTACGCCCTTTTTTCCCCAGACATTGACATTGAGATTTCTTCGGTTGTATTTGATTGCCTGTGCGGTTTTTATTTTTTGCGCTATAAATGAAAAAACACAACAATTTCGGAGAAAAACTAAACTATTTTTGACCGCTATAAAACATCCAATAAAAAAAATGTTAAAAATCAAATTTCGTCATTTTCGGCCAAAATGTATTTGCGAAAAAAAATCCCAATGAATTGGTTTACGTGAACGTTATAGTGTTTACAAATGGCGGGATCGATACTGGGATTTTTAAATTTTTACTAGTCATGGAGGCAATCAACAACTTATAGCGATACTGCGGTGGGCATTCTGACACTGGGGGGAGGGAACTGACTTGGTGTCACTGACATCCCCAGTGACACCAATACAGTAATCAGTGCTAAAACAAAGCCCTGACACTACTAATGGCACTGGGCAGGAAGGGGTTAACATGAGGGGGGATCAAAGGGTTAACTGTGTTACTAGGGAGACATGCTGTGCACAGAGATACAAAGCAGCATGTCTTCGCTGGAGGGAGAAAGACCCGTGTTGTTTCCATACAGACCTCTCCCCTGTCGGCTTTACCCGACGATCGCCTGCCGGGAATCACCAGCTGGGACCCGTTGTTTGACATCCATAGCGGTGCGTGGAGGGCAGTGTGTGCCCCCACCCGAAATACAAATCACAAACATATATATATATATATATATATATATATATATATCTGTGGATGTATACATTGTACATTTATTGGATGTGATGAAGTTTCCCTCTCAGTGATCAGTCTTGTCCATATTTTATGGTTGTATGTTAGATTTGGGATAAGATGCCCCACCCCCATGATGTTCAGCTTGGTAATTTAATGTGTTAATTGATATATGTGTAAATGGAGAGAAAGCAGTATGGCGGGTATGCTATGACCGGGTGGATGTAGGATGAAATGCGTAGTCTCCTCTCTCCTGCCATTTCCGGATTCATTATAATAAAGGATATTTTCCTGGAATGCGTCGTCTATTCATGGTCCTCTTGGACGTCTCAGGGACTGGCAGGACTTGCACCGACTGTGTGGGCAGAATGATGTGGACCGGCCTAGAGCTGTATATATTGGTGGGTTTTTCTTCACTAGTTTACTATTTTATCTCCTGATTCTCCAATCAACCTTCATGGTCTTCTACTGTCTACACCACAGGTGCCAAACTGGTGGCCCCTCCAGCTGTTGCCAAACTACAAATCCCATGAGGCATTGCAAGATTGACAGTTACAAGCATGACTCCCAAAGTTCTAAGCATGACGGGCCTTGTAGTGTCACAACAGCTGGAGGGCCACCAGTTTGACACCCCTGGTTTAAAGCAAGAGGTCTCCAAACTACGACTTTCAGGCTACATCTGGCTCACTAGAAGATTTTCTCTGTTCCACAGCAAATGTGAAGATCCTTTTGCTGGCTGGACATACGCGTGCCGGTCCATGCGTCATAATACAGAGACCTGTGCATTCACCGACAGATTCCCTCTGTTGTGGTTGGTTTCTAGGACTGCCAGTGTCCTAGCAACCAATGAGGTGTTCCACCTGGCCTTAGCATATACAGGAGGACTGGGTGTCCTCCATCCAGATCAGCTTCCCTTATGGCAGGGGTGGGCAACTGTGGCCCTCCAGCTGTTGTAGAGCTACAAGTCCCATGAGGCATTGCAATATTAACTGTTACAAGCATGACTCCCAAAGTTCAAAGCATGATGGACCTTGTAGTTTCACAACAGCTGGAGGGCCGCCAGTTTGACACCCCTGGTCTACACAGCAGCAGTGTATGGGGAAGGGTGCAACTTTGGTAAAACCTTGGGGGCCGTACCCAGACCCCCACTCTCCGGGAGTGCCCTGTAATGTTGCATCAGGCATTAGATCCAGCATGAGACGCTTATTATGGCACTTGGTGCAAGGTGTTGAGTTAGCCAGGTCCAGGGTGGTGGTCCATCGCTGAGGAACAGAGTCCCTGAAGATGCCTTCTTTACCATGAGGGGTACAGTATGGACTTTGTATA